TTATCTAGATTCAATTCTGGCAAAATAACAATAGAAAAAATTCCACTTTGGGTGTTGTTAGATTGCGTATATATATATATATATATATATATATATATATATATATATATATTGAAACCGTGTTTAAATCGGAGGGAGTCATATTAAATTAATACATTCATTAGACATATCTTTATTGGCCATTGGAAAATATCTTTTGATCTAAATACAGCATATTCCAAATAGCCTTATAATAACATTTAAAGCTATTATTGTATACTGTTGATCTTTGATCTAGATTAACTCTGCTGGCTTTCGTTACTTGTTAGTTATTAACCATTCGGCAGCGAGGTTGTTACGCATGGAGAATTTGAAATTCAGGGAAAAATAACCAAGCCTGATTAAGGTAAAAATGTTTCTTCTTGCTTATAAGGCTATTTTCTATAGCCTTGCTTACAACATTAAACCTACTGGCTTCTCATGTCATCTTATCAAAATAATTCACTGATACCGAGAGACATTCTTTTTGGGACCGAGGTGCTCGTCCAAATTGATCTGCGTCGCGGATCTGCAAATTTAAAACAAAAATTACCAGTTTTCAAGCTTGCTGTTAAGAGCCGGTGGTTGAGCGTGATTTCTGCTAAGTACGACTAAAACAGGTGCAATCTGTTGACCCTGTGACAGCCTTACAAATAAAATGAGTCCTGTGACGTCTCCTCGCAGAAAGATCACTTGTGGACGCTGTATTTCTCGGGCCGTGAGCAATCCTTGCATTTTTCACTGTCTTGCACAGGAACGAAGTTACAAACAACCGCCGACATCAAAGAGAAGAAAAAAACAATTACAATAGGACACAATTTGCTTTCGGCAACCGATCGTTCAAACACTTAAATTTACTAATCTTTAAAATGAACATTTAATTTCTACTGAAACGGCGAAGCAACCTGTGCTCTGAAATCCCTTTCAGCCAGGTGGACTTATTCTAACTATATCCGCAGCGAATACTGATACTGAACGAACTAGCACGCCACATAAAACTGGCCAATAGTTGTTTGTAAGAGACCTCCTAATGACGTTCACCCTATGCGGATCATCAGATCCTAAAATAGGGTCTTCAAATTTCTGAGTGTGAATAATGCAAGAAAACATTATATATATATATATATATATATTATAGAATGTGTTTAGGTTTTGTTTAAATTCTATAAACTGTAATTATATTGAAATGTACCAAAACCATGTTGCTGTTAGGGGGCTGATAATGCTGACGCTATGAATAATAAAATAAATAGGCTATTGAACTTCGCCATGGTTTCGCTTATGGCTGCAGCAATACTGGATAAACCCATGACTTCTTACCGGCTTTTGTTGTCCTTAATTGGGCTCTACGTTTAATAAAGTGCCGATGGAAGATCAGAATGAAGATTGTTTGCATGTGTAATGTTAAAAAGCAAATATGACACAGGCTGCCGACACGATCCACCGCACGCACCAGTCCTCCGAGGTCAGCCATGACCCGAGCGACTTGTAACAACTTCCACAACGTTGATTGTCGCACTCTTGAACGCAGCTAATGTCCCTCTGATCCGTTAGAAGCGGCCGCCGGCAGTTTCGGTGCGTCAAATGAAAGTAATTGCCCCTTTGGCCAGACGAACGTCAAGCTTTCGGAGCGTGACTGGCTCACGAGTCTAGTCATCTCCACTCTTTAGTAGCGTATAGTGACGCACAATTGGCCCCTAAAAAGACAAAATAAATTGGCTTTTTTGCATACAGTCGCTACAACAGCCAACTAACTGCATAAGGTTTCCTTTAATTTTAAGAAAACGGTACCGCTTTTAAGTTCATATAAATAAAATATTGTGATTTGATGCAACTTACTTCTGTATGATAAAATTATCGCTGCAACCAGCTCTATACACAAAAAAAAAAATCGACTACAAGTCGTTCGTATTCGAACAAGCAACGGAATCGAAACACAAAGACGGATTTAGGTTTTTCCTTGCCTAGGTTCATGCCTTGTATTCGTTCGAAAAAAATAGCCGAGACGCCCTGTCCCACCCGTTGGTTAGCCTCAACCCAGTTTCATTAAACTCACGCGCTTCGATTGTCACCAAATCTATTTAATGATTGTTAAATTTGTATGACAACATCCACAAAACAACACACCAAGACCATAAGTGCTGTTCTCCATGGAACACATCAGCTGCTGGGGCAAAGATAACGTTTTTTTAAATATAGGTCAAGAGCCGACACGTACTTAAGGTGTTACTAGTAGTATTAGGTTCGATCATATAACTATTGAAATTAACGAGATAACTGGATTACGAATAACTGCAGAAGATACCTGTTGTTTTTTTATGAGGAGCCCGTTGCCAACATGTTCTCTATTTTCGAAGGTATATTTTTTTATGGAGCTCTTGTAGGAATCATATAAGCAATGATGACTGACAGGTAGCAAATTCCATTAATAAACAATTTCAGGTCATCGTAAGTGTGACACGCTACAACTCGTATCAGTCATCCAGTCTGCCTGTCTGCAAAAAGAAGCGGACTTTTAACTATGACAATACAAATGTTAGCTTTGTTTTTTGTGCCTCGTCATTCAGATTGTTGCATCATTTATGCTTACTTTGAGCGGCTAGTTTAAGATTTGATCGCTTCTAGTTAAAGTCGAAATCAACGAGTTTTCTTAACGCTTAAGGTCTTCGAGGGTTACTTTTGTCCATAAACTATTTCTAGTTATTGTAACAAAAACAAAGAAAACGCTCGGAATCGATGACAGAACGAGTGGCTGTGCACATCGGTAAAGTTGAAAATCGACTCAGACGGCGTGAATTACCGGCCAGGTACAAGGCAGACTAGCGGATAACTTCGTAACTTCGAAAAACGCTACACCGTGATCGTGTTTCAATACGAGCAGCTACTCATGATTATTATTTCGTCTAACAAGGTCATCTTGCGCTCGTCTTGCATTTCTATCTAAACGCTATCTATCTTTTAATAATTTTAAGAACGATTATATTTTACAATTTTGCTAGAAAGTGTCAGCTATTTACACGTAAATGTTTATTTACTTCGAATAGGCTGACAAACTGGAATAGTTTTTAGTGTTATTTTTTTTAACCATTTTAAAGGAAAAAAGGTACTCCATGTGAAGCTGAGAAATAATTAACACGCCAGATCCACTGTTTGCCTAGTGCAATAGACGCGGGACGCAGCTACCTAACAAAATATAGTGTAATTACATAGTCTTTTCTACTAATAGCTTTTCCATTGGCTCATTGTGTTGGCGTGGGGGCATCGGCATTGATCGACGGCTGGAAGCCGGAGGGGAAGAGTTCGTCAGCTGTTTCGCCGCTAAATAGTCAAAAAGACTTCATGCTAATTGCTTTAGAAGCTGTCCATTAGGCTACAAAATAGCTTGATACGGTCGTCAAAATAAATGTTTCTGATCGTTGTGACCTGGTTGATTGAGACCGCTCTAACATCCTACTATCGATCAGCGGGTTCGGAAAGCATTTTGCGCCTACACATTTATTTAACTGTCATTAGTTTTACAGGCTGATCAGTCATGACGCGTAACATCTACGGGGAGTCTGGCGTGTGCATAAACGACACAATATGCGATTGTTTTAACACTTCAATAAATGTTATTGAAAACGGTAGACTGCAACATTTCTATATATTGTACGTATAGTGAAGTGCATGTACAGGTGATGGTTTTTATTTTCGAGAAGACAAAACTATCACAGAGAAAATACTTTGTCACGTGTTAGTCAAACAATTAGATCTCGCTAAGTACTGAAAAATAAAAATCAATTTTGAAGAATATGAGGCTAGACCTTATTCTAGAGGCTAGAGTCTCTGCTTGACTATAAGCTGCCGCAGAACGTTCCATTTATCCAACTGGTAATATTTCGAACGTTCACTAACAATGCGTTTTGTCGTACTCGGTTCATCGGTGGAGAATATGTGTAGCTCACGAGAGGAAAACCCGAAACGAAAGTAACGCCATGGAACAGAAGTTGTTATCCCCATAGAAACCTTAACATTGATGCTGTCAGAGATTTAAGGCATATGAATGTGCATACATATTCTATGAGTAACCCCAGGGGTTAACCATCCATGTAACGTACAAATGATTCTTTCGGCCAAAGAATAATTTTCTAACTCCTTTCTATTTTCTACGAATGTAGCCAGATGACGACTTCGTATAAAGCGTATCTGATGCGTGAAGGGACGTTGTATGTGTCAGACCTTATCCATAGTACATGATAACAATATTAATACGGTGTTGATTCATTAAAGAGGGATCTTCAGCGTGGTTTTTCAAAATAATACAACCACAGCTATGCTACGTTCATATTGAAGTTGAATTACATGTTAGGGACAGACGCACGAAACCAATACAAGGAACTGACAGATGATTTTAATATCAGCCAAATTGAAAACATCTCCCCTATATAAGTCCCAGACCACGCAGCAAGCGTAGAGTATCACTGAGTAGTGCTATTTTTAATTAAGTTATTACTAATATGTAAAAGGTTCGAATCAAGTTGAAGTTCTTATTGTTCTGATATTATTGATCGCCTAGTAAATATTGATTCTAATTGAGAAATAATGCATAGTAAGAGATGAGTGGCAAGTTGTTAATTGCTATGGGTATCGGATGCTCAATATGATAAATCATCAGACTTGCTCTACATCCTCTATATACACAGGCCAACCATGTGGTTGATATGGTACGCCCGTTCGTAGGTAACTTTTACACTTACCAAGTACATTGCACTTCTTGTAATTACTATACATCTTTAGGTAACAAAGGCATCGATCGATCGAATCTTTAATTAAGCAATCCTGCCTTAGGGTAAATGCCCTGCAAACGAGAGATTCTCTTCGCTCAAGCCAACTAACCTATTAACTATTCAAACTTCAAAGTTTTTCTAACTATTCAAATACTATATCTAAGAATACACCTTGCATTGTTGTACGAATGATGCTTGATACTGGAAAAATGCTTGACTAAGGTGCAAAGAACTTTTTGCGGTTTCTGTATGCAACCGGTACGCTTCTAACGACGAAGCCAAGAGTGAGCCGGATGGATGCTGGACTTCGGTGAGTGACCGCAGCAAATGGCTCCAGGGGGTAGCTATGCTGAAGGGAATCCTGAACAGGGCGACCCTCAGAGCGGCTTCCAGGAAAAGCATCAGGTGGAACACAACTATGAAGATGAGAGGCCTCCCCCTGGCCCCCTGAATTTACGTCTGAGCAGTCCGCAACCCAGCCGTGCCGTCGAATACTGTCATTTGGCGCACAATCTGCGACAGGTATGCTTGGAAAATATCGGCGGATCTTATCATCGCTTTTTCCGTTGATTCCAATGAGCTCAACGACTTCAGACGGTATATGCATAGTGCCGAAGATTATTTTCGGTTAGTTCCAGGTCCGTCGAGTTCCTCGTGTGCATATGAAGCCCGAGCATGGTGGTGGAAGCCTGCTATTGGAGCACATCACTTAAATGGCTTGTGCCAATAAATGTCTGTATTGATTTAATATATTTATTTCTGTTACCCTTGTACAGCGCTTCGTATTCAGGTCTAGCATGTATTGCATGAAGTCAATATGGTGTTATCGAAGGACTGAATCACGAGCTCGTCAGATCATCAAGAAATAGGTTTGTAGATGAGTCAGCGAGGGTCTTTTTTTTAGTGGTCTCTTTTACATATGTACCTAGCGGTCCAGCTCGAAATCATGCTGTTATCATGTTAATCTTGTTAGTTGATGGGTGGATTTAGGATGTCCGTAGGAATAGAACGTAAAATGAAGAGCTTAGTGGAAACGTAACTTGTTGCATGAATGTAAAAATAATCGTTGGCCATTTCCAGAAGGGCCCCGACCATTTGTTTGAAATGTCCATTAATTTAGAACACCATCGGCGTTAAGGTCACAGTGCCTCTTTGTCTCTGGCTGCGCTTTAGGCAATACAGAGTGAACTTATGGCAAAGAGACGGGACATCTGACTTGCCAATGCCCTGTCCAACCTTTATATCGTGAAGTTCTGTCTGGAAATAAATTGTTGACAATTGAATTACCCATGCGACAGGACAGATTCTAACGTGATGGTTGGCAAGTTGCATGATATTTGAAAAAACGTGTACATAACTTATTTAGTTGAATGAAAAAAGGTTTCGCATACAAGAAATTAAAACCTTTCATTCAATTTCCCGAATATTGTTTACCACACGAATGAATTGATTTTTTTCTTAAAATTAAACTGTACTCTAACCAGAATCATTGGCGTAATGTACTGAGCCTTTTTACTATCGTTTTGAAATAGATACCTGAGTTTTCCTATATACAACGAGGGATAATTTCGGTACCTCTAACGACGAGTGTGAATCCAATTGTATTGTCACAAAATATAGAAATACACGACTGTCACAAATATAAGTTCTATAATTGTTTCGCTTATTTTACCGACTCAAATCATCCAGAACTCTCTCTGCGTGTTGAGTTCTGAAAACAAATTCTGAAACATCATTCAGGAATAATAGTAACTCCCAAAAGCAGTAGAACAGACAAAGGTCAAGGTACTTTTAAGGATTACATCAAAACTTCACGCTCTGCAATGGAAACTGGAAATGCACAATGGGTTTCCTGCTACGGCACAGCTTGCTTACCCAGCAATAATCGTTTGCTATGTGGACAAGTACACGAACAGCTCTCAAGCGAAAGTTTCGTTGGTTGTGTTTTAAAAAAAGAAAAAGGCGTGAGCCTTAAACCTGGGCAGGCGACGGCAAACGAAGTCATTGCAATCAGCAACACTAGAAAATTCTCTTCAAGAGCAACGGAAGACCTGCATCTTTGGATCGGATCTCAAAAAACATATAGAATTACGATTACGTCGGACGTGATCATATGTGACAATAATAGAAATAATAAGTCTGACGCTTTGTCTGACACGTTGCTTCAAAAACCGCTGCTTAAAATATCCTCATCAACCGAAGAACAAACCATACATAGATGCACATAATTTTTGACTAATAAGTTTGTTTGACTATTACTGAACTGTTAAAAGTCACTATAGTCTGCCAAGCCAGAAGTTACTGGCAAGTTCTATAATTCCATGATCGAACACAGTTACCGAACCTTCAGAACTTGCGTTTGTCCATTCAGAAGACAGCTGATCGAAGAGCAGGCCGAGATTCCTTTGTGCTTGCTATTTAGCCAATTATTATGCTGCACATATTCGAATGACAAACATAAACAGTTGGGAAAAAAATATTTAAAAATATGTTGCGGAAACTTCGCCATGATATTGAAATTAATTCCCGTTTACTATTTTTACAGATTTTTTCAATATATGCTAACATAGTTAATACTAATTGGTGAATTTAAGCTACTATATCAACGTGGTCAATTTGAGTGTCCGCCGCAAGTTTCTGAACGGTACGAGGTTACCAATCGAGTGCTCAGCCTCTTCAAGACGTGGCTCTATCATGTCATGGACGCGAAGGGACTTCGAGAGGCACTCCACGGGGCACCCTCATTTCGGATGCGTCAGTTTGGGTCGTTGAGGTTGGGTGTGCAGGACGTAACTTCTGATATTGATCTTTGTTTCGTTGGCCCTCGCTGGATAAGCCGTGAAGAGTTCTTCACAAGTTTCCCCAAGTTGGTCAGTGGGTAGGCGCGGCCAGTCAGTCTTAGTCAGGTCAATCCAGTATTTTAATAATGTTTCATTCACTGATTAATCCGCATCTTAAGTAGAAAGAAGACATCGCATAAAAGCACTTTGCCGAAAAACAACCGACTGAGTAAACTATCTCAACGAACGGAAATGCTATGCTACTCAATTATATATTTGACCCTAAACATTTTTACTAAATAATAATGTAGCCTATTAAATGAGCTTTTTATATTCATTGACTCCATATGCACCGTGGACTCATCCGAAGTAAAGTTAGAACAGTACCCTCATGAATTTACCAAGTTGAGTGTTCTTCCGCTGGCCTTTGTACCCGTGATTCGCGTCACCTGTCGAAACTTCGGAATAGATATTGTCTTCGCTCGTGCAGAAGTTGACGAGATCTCCCGAGAGCTGGACCTTCTCAGCAGCTCTACTATCGAAAGGTATAATTGTTGATTTCTAATTTTTAGCGAACGTATATTTAGTCTGTATCAGTCAGAACTCAAACTGCCACACCCAGTATCGAAATGGTCATTTAAAGGATGATTAATCATCATTTTAGTTTTCGCCGAAAAAGGTTGCGCACTTGGAGCTTCCCTGATCCTTATCCTTATCTTAGCTACATACATTTAGGGACGTCGTAAGTGCGATCGAAATTTGGAAAGTCAAAAAAAGTAAAAGGGACGGCTGAAGCAAAACTGTGTATCATGTAGTGTTGTTAATGTTCTGTAACTCGGTATTGTAACTAATATAACTATGAATATTTAGCAAAGCTGCGAATGTGATGCTTGGAAATGATAAATAATTAAATTTATCTATCAATACATTTAATTAATAATTTAACATACAATGATAACAGTTAAGTACAATTAAACGTAAACAACAGCTTTTCGGTCAGTCCTATTATACTAGTGCATATACTACTAATGTAGAACCTGTTTATAATACCTACAAAGGTATTAGAAGCCTTCAATCAAATTCAATTAATCAAAGAAACGGCTGAACGATAATTTGGTCACTCCCTTCTCTCAATCAAGTTCTCACATATATTCAACGGTAGTTTTCCAAGAAGCGTCTTGCAGGATTACGCCATTTTAACCCAGAAGTAACATAATCTTAGTTTGGTTATGTTTTATTTTTTCATTTATTTTTATATTTCAACAGCTTAGTAAGATCACAGCTTGCCTAAAAAATGAATATATGTAACGGTTCCTACTTGACGCTTGTGCTCTCTACCGGTGTATTGATCAGTTTGGTAACAGACATTCGCTGTATACGCTCGCTGAATGGATACAGGGTAACTGAAGTTGTCTTAAGGTTCGTGCCCCGCTATCGCGTGTTTCAGCTGGCCTTAAAGACTATTCGCTTCTGGGCGAAGTGTCATAAAATATATTCTCATACACTAGGTAAGCAAAAACGTCCTTAATAAAAATTCTTTTCGATCAGGCCAAAAATTAAGCATCGTAAGAATTATCATTGTAAAAAGCTATGTTTTCTAAAAAAAATTTTCGCGCAACGGTTTTCTTCTCGCTAGGGTGTGCCAATATATATATATATATCAACCTCCAATTAGCATTCATTTGGGATTGTGCTCAGAATACCGGTGTATGTTACAGGTTACCTTGGTGGGATATCATGGGCGATACTTGTGGCGAAGGTCTGTACAATATACCCGAAAGCAGGTGCTGCTCGTATTGTCAACAAGTTTTTTCTAGTGATGTCACAGTGGAGATGGCCAGAGCCTGTCATGCTTCTTCCTGAAGGATACGGTGCCAGCCCGCATCTTTGGTCGGTGACCCAGATGCCCTGGGACATCATGCCAATCATTACTCCAGTTTATCCCCAGCAGAATTCAAGGTACCTCGTAAAACCTACGTTACCCTTTGCTACACAAGCCATTGGGTGTGCAAATCCATCGATAGGATTGTTTAAATGAATGCGCCTAATCACTGACAAAAGCTAAGGAGAGATTATATATACAAAAATAAGAATCGAACATTTAGAAAACGCTACTACAGAAGCAGTTGAGTAGTTTCATGCTTTTTTTTTTTACTGATTCTCTGCTCTTTACTGAGTTACCGAGCATCTGTCTGTACAACTTTCCAGTTACCTTGATGAATAAATCCTAATCTGCTTCTACATTAGTAGTATTCAGTTCAATCGCGTGCTCCAAGTGTATACTACCAACATGTAATATAAGTTTGGTGACATATCGAATTTGAGCTTTAACGTATCAAAAAGCACTCTACTCGTGATGAAGAACGCGTTTACGGAGGGTCTTCGAATTTCCGACGCCGTTCTCTTAGAAAGTGTCGACTGGGGGAAACTTTTCGAGCCCGTGGATATCTTCTTGCTTTATGAGCACTTCGTTATACTTCAGACTGTACGACATAACACAGACGGTGACGACAAGGAACTTTGGGTGAGCCTGTTTATTGACCTACCAGCCCAAAGTATACTTTTATATTAATATTGTAAGTACTAAGACACGATAGAGCTGAAGCACCGAAATTCAATTTTTTTCAATTGCGTAAATTTTAATTGTTCGACGAATATCTACCATTGATGTCTCCGTATGGGTCCCATACTGTCTAGTAGCGTGAAGTTAGTATAGTTGAAAACTAACATAGGATCCCACTGTACGATACGGCGTTTCGCTCGTCTTAAAGGTTAGAGTACCATTGAACTTTCATCTTGAAGGTCTAAATTCGTCTAAATTTCCAGCCAGATTACTAATCCGGCTGCGAATTTGGAGGCGCGCAGACTTCGTCTAGTGTTGAAAGGAAGCCATGACAAGAATAATGCCGCTAGTAAAATTCAAATTATATATTTAGTCTATATGACTACCAGCTAAATGATAGGCCATCAAATGCGTGTAGGTGATTTCAGTTGAGCGCTGTATGAAAAAATTCCTGAATGGTATCGATCAGTGTCAGCAATGTCCTGTGGAATATTTACACGTTAGCCCGGATTATTCTATGCGCGTCCATGAAGATCACCTCCAAATATCTTGGCTATTCGGGGTGCAGTTTTTACCAGATGCCGATCAGGTTAGTAAGTTTTACCCGCGCGGGCGAATAACTCAAATTTCAAATAAGCATGCATTTACACGAGAACATAACCCGCTTTGAAAGGCTTTTTGTCTGCCTTGCTGTGCACTTTTTGCTGTAGCAAGTTCTGAGGCCTATATGACGTATTTTGAAAGCGGGGGAAGATGGGGCGATATGGGGCGCAATCTACTTAACGCCACCGAACAACGTTCTCCGTGACTTTGGCTTATAGCAACCATTGCCGTAAGAGAAACGGTACCCCAGTATGTTCTACAAAACACTACTTACCTATGATAGTGGTCAAAAAGGTGCTTGAAGTGGGTCATTAACTTTAAAGTCGTAATAGAAAGAAAAGCAAGCAATCTCATTTCTTTGCACTTCAGTTGGCATCTATCGAATAAAACGCTTATTTGTGTCCAACTGCTTAAATTTTACCCGTAGAGGGTCGAGCAATCCAAAATGCACCAAACTACACAAACAAAGACAGCCCATTCCGTAGCCTACATAACCCTATCTACCCCTATGTTATCATTAAATTGGACTTATCTATTATTTAAGTGTTCGACCTCTATGTGCAGATATTTCTTACAAACTAATTCTGTGTGGGGATGCTTGTTAGCATTTAGACGATCTCGAGGAACACACGCAAAGTCTATTCTCTTCGATCGTGTCATCGTTATTAGGTGGACAAGTTGTCCTCGACGAGCGCGACTTCATTCGAAGCTTCTTTGTAAATCGCCACAATGCCCGGGAGCTAATGGAGTCTCGAGATGGATGGTCAGAATGATACAATCATTCATTTATGGTCAGGACTAGGAATAACTAATCATCGAGGACATCATCATTCGGAGCAGAGGTTCGTCGTAGTCTGAAAGAGACGTGCGATGTTTAATTAGCCGTGTGCTCAGGACACAAATAACATGTTTAAAATGAGGTGCACTTTCGTACATCACGACATTGGCAAATATGAAGGGACAAGTGAAGATTTATTTAACTTAAACACTGAAAAAAAAAATAATGTGAGGCCTTATTAACGTGTGTGCACGTAATTAACAGCCATAACTAAACCGATCGTGCGCGATTGACGTCCTACACGAAATAAGTACACCTTGACATGTCAACAAGTCTCTGCTAGACTCATTTCGCTATGGTTAGAAATGGTAAAAATACACATGTGGAAAATGTAAACCGAAAAATAATTATGGTATTCACTGAATAATACACGCATAGATTTTGAACGAAACGATAATAGCTTTGTACACCTTTTTAGCGACCGATCTATAATCAAAAAAAAAAAAAAAAAACGTTTGCTTTCGAACAGTGTTTCTTCAAACACTAATGGTTTCTATGTTATATATGATGATAGAAAATTCCGAATTTTGCTTGTACACAACCTGTTTTTTTAGAAATTTTTCAACACAATGCGGCCTCCTGCCATCGACAAGGCGCGATTAGCCAACCTTATTTTTACTAGCTTACAGACAATACATTCAGTTATTAGTTAGACATAATAGTAGCGTCTGAATGAATGTTTTTTTATCTTATTAAATGTGAAGTTTGTCGACAACGATGTGACAAACAGAAAGAGAACGATAAGGACGTTTTTAACTCAGTATGTTAATAAAACAATCGTACTCTTGTGTATGTAATAATGCCGGCTGTGATTGGTCGAAGTCTCCTGATAAGTGCTTTCAATTTTGAGTACATGTCGCAAAAAAGAACTACAAATACTCACAAGTTAAAGCTAATGTAAAAGGTGCAGTAGACGCCAGAGCGGCTCAACGGCCGCCGCGTTTGCGCATTTATCTAGGAAGACCGACGTTCCCACTGCGGAAAGCTACACAGATGTCACTCGCATAGAATAGGGTAAGAATAATCCTTGGATGAGGACGACCTAAGACGAAAAACATGATTAACAGGTCGTCGAGTTAATCTGGATTAAACATGGCGCGCTCAACGAAACCGGATATTTTATAATGCTTTGAAGTGTACTTTAAAGCATCGTAAAATATGGCAATAAATGGGATATATATATATATAAAGGAATTTATTAATTCCTAGTACAGGGTGTGTTGAGCCTTGGGTAACGCTGCTCGCTGTGGAACTCTTTGAACATAAAAAACGAAACTTCTTCTTTCTATAGCAAAGTACGTAACTGTTTGGATTGGGTTTCTTGGCTTCCGGTATAAAAATGCTTTTCACAAAATAACATAACGACTCCGTTGTAACTTACAATCAATCATAAATTTAAGTCAGCTGTTGGCGACTCAAAGGCAAAATCTCATTTTAAGGTTGGACCAATAATTAAGACTTAGATGGGCATTCACATAAGATGATTGTACGCCAGAACCATTTTGGAGCCAATGATGTGGTATACAAGGTACATCTGTGAAATTTGCAAAAAAAACATTGAATATACTATAACAACGCAATAATAACTACCAAAAAAATAGAAAACTTACCAAAAAGAAAAATCAAAAGTATCGAATTCTCGTAACTGGCCGTATTCTTTTCTGTGAAATATTGTGAAGGTCTTAAAGTTAGTTTTCGTGTTAGTCTTAGTTTTTTCGTGGACGAAAGCGAAAAGTTAACAAAAGGAACTTAGGGATTCGTCAAATAGGGATTTTTCGTTACCCTCAAGCACCGATATAGGAATGAGTCTATTTTAGTAACGGGAATATTTCGAACTAACAGAATGAGCGTGGTTAGTATTTCTTAGGAAATTAACTTCATAAAAGTTACATTGTATTTAGCTGGTCAGTTTTACTGAATTGTACAATAGAACATAGCTAAGTAGCTGTCAAAAATTGTACTCTAGACCTTCGGATCCCACTTTGCTTTGAACAAATAAATAATATCATCTACACCTTTATGGGCCTCAACATCTTCTCCAGTACTTCACAAACGTGGAAAGATTCTATTGATCAAGATCATATACGTTCCTATGACCCAGATCACACGATCTTGAGGGTGCTCAATGGGCACGGAATCCAAAGAATATCGAATTAACCAAACAACGTCCCCAATTATCCCCAATTATTAAGAATCAGTTGGTATTTGCGGTGATGATACGAGTTCGCTATGCTAATAATTGGTGTCTTCTCTCGTAAGAGAGCTGATGCCGAGCCGATGAAGTTCCGCCACTTCGCACCCCTGTCGGCTAACTAGGGCTACTCTTAGGTTTTTGCTTGTAGCGTTGAAACGTTTTTGAGCCCCAGTCATTTGCAAGAAATCTGCCATAGAGACTTAATTGATAATTATAAAATTCCGGTCAGATTCCTCATCCGCCTTGACTGAATATAAATTATTAAACCCGGGACGTAAAAACACGTGAGTAGTTATCGCATCCGCAATCGCAAGTAGCAGTCTGACGGCAGGTTTTCAAACTGGGCACCCGACAGAATCTTATGGTAAAGTATGAAGGAAGTGGATGCTCGTTTTTTTTTTCGATCTTCATCAAAGTTACGTGATACAATACCTCAGGTTTAAACCGTTGTTTCGAGTTATGCTAAAAAAACTTGTAATGTTGCATTGCAAAAATCTAAGTTGGTCACAACTTACGATTCAGATAAAAATGAAGAGCGATGGCTTAGCTTAAATTAATTAAAAAAGACTTTTGCAAGGCAGCTTCCTTGGGGATATATTTTAGGCATAAAAAAGACTGTTTTTGTATGTGAAAATGTTACAGCACTGTACATTATACTCCTATAGAGCCCCTATGTAATCGACCAAGAAACTGCCGGCGGGCAGATATGGAAACGTGCGGGTTAATTATCTTGGCAATATACAACTAAACAATCTATTATATAAATTGAGCAGGCGCAAGTATCGCGATTACCTTTCAGAGGTACCGGTCAGATGACAACAGAATAGATGAAAAATATCCGAAATCCGTTCAAGATATCTTAAGTGAAATGATTTGGCCCCATTGAAAATACCCTGATTTCCACTTTCATCAGCGATTCTCAAATTAAACCCGTTTAATTTTCATTTAAGCAGGTATATTCGTTTTATTATCTAACATCAATAAGAGGTTTGCGAGCATATGTGAGTATCTACGACACCTTTGGGAAGCCAGCAAGAGGGCTAAAACTGCTTTTCCTAAATTGATCATATTTTTTTCCCTGCTATCATTACAAGCTTTGTAGTCTCTAAGATGTTCCAATGTGGTCTTATATTGTAATACCCAAGAATCAATTGCGATGTACCATCTTGTACGATTATTCAGGGATTGAAGCTCCATTTGTATTAGATATTCTATCTGGTATTTTTTTGTTTTATTATGTATCATAGCATTTTTCTGAACAAAGGTAAACAGGTGCGTTGTGATAAACGATCCTATTAGGTAAAAATGGATATGAAAATTTAGCTTGTGGACTTACCGTCAGTTACTATGTAATATGTCGGTTTTGTCATCACCCCATAAAACACTACCCTAACCGTATTTACATAGCTTGTCATAGTTTGTAACACAGTTGTTAACATGTAAATGGGTTTTCGCAACGCCTAATAGTGTACCTGTAATGTACGGTATCAATCATTGAATTCAATAATATCGCCTCGAAAACATAGACGCGTAGCGTGAACGCATGCTCTTTGACATTTTAACAGATCACACATGACGGCTAAATTAAATTTTGCTACTTAAGGCTCCAATATAGGCCTTTAGATAAAGATTTTTCATAGCACCTCATACATTCACGATTCGCTGAGCACAGCGAATAGCGTGTAAGGTCAAAGATTTAGGCAAAAGGCTACCAACAGCACAATACTGAATTCAATTGTAACAAGTATTAATTAGAAACTCGAAAAGAAACAGGTCTAGTAGATAAGTATCAAGTGGCCTAGATAAATACATCAAAACAAAATCCACCCAAATACGACGACACCTAATTGATTTACAATGTAAAGAATGAAATTGAAAATCGGCTCCGCAGGCACCCTTCCGTATAGAATTAAAAAAATCGAGAATTCAGCATACCGCGTCTGTGTCACTGTATTTTTTTTAGAAGTTACAAAGTTCATACGAAATCATACAAGGTGTTATCGCACAGGTAACAGTATTATTCACTTTCTGGGCATCAGTGTACTTAGTTAACTTAACGCCTTCGTTTTAAAAATGCTAAACAAATTTATTTTAAAAGCTATTTTCCTTTTTTGCAGTAAATGTTTCCGCGGGTTAGAAAGGATCCAACATACGAAACAAATGAAATTATTGCTATCTTCGTACAGGTTCATCTATACCTATTTTGCTATCGTTTCTAGCTTCATATATGGACTTTGCTCAAATGGTACGTCATCCATTTTCGCGCAGCTGCTTATCTCGTAAAAGTATATAT